TTGCAATATGAGAAAGATCTGTTTAGTTCTTCTTTTAATCGATTTTGTTTTTATGATCAGTTTCAAAATATAACATACACAAGGCGGGATCAAGGGGAACCTACATTTAAAATTTGAGAAAGATCCCTCCCGTACTTCCCGAGAAATAGCGATAACAAACTTTCACTATCAAAATCCAAGATGGCTGCCTGTCGGCCATGTTGTTTATCCGATCAGTCTCTAAAATTGCCCTGCACAGCTAGGACCAAGGGGAACCTACATATAAAATTTAAGAAAGATCCCTCTAGTTCTTCCGGAGAAATAGCGGTAACAAACCTACAATATCAAAACCAAAGATGGCTGCCTGTCGGCCATGTTGTTTATCCGATCAGTCTCAAAAAAATGCCCTGCACAGCTAAGGACCAAGGGGAACCTACATATAAAATTTGAGAAAGATCCCTCTAGTACTTCTTGAGAAATAGCGATAACAAACTTTCACTATCAAAATCCAAGATGGCTGCCTGTCGGCCATGTTGTTTATCCGATCAGTCTCAAAAGTTGCCCTGCACAGCTAAGGACCAAGGGGAACCTGCTTATAAAATTTGAGAAAGATCCCTCTGGTACTTCTTGAGAAATACCGATAACAAGAATTGTTTACGGACGGACGACGTACGACGGACAACGGACGGACCACGGACGCAGGGTGATTTGAATAGCCCACCATCAGATGATGGTAGGCTAAAAACTTATTTTCAAGAGTTAAGTTATGTTTTGAGTAATTTGTTTAAAACATACCAGGGTATTGATTGACCAATCTTAACAGTGCAAGTGTCGCATGTTCTGATTGGATGATATTCATGTCTACTTGTTCAGGATTGGCTACATCTCCCATCCCATCTCTGCCGTGGTAATGAGTCGCGTCTGGACCTTCACCAATCAGTGGCTTTTCACAACCTTTATATACAGGTACCTAGCAACAGACAATGGGAGTTACTCGTTGAGAAAAGCTGGACAAATATTATGTTAGGTATAAAAAGGGCAGTTGCTAAATATAAATTCTTTGTCTAGATGATGGGGCTTATATTCCGTCTTTGCGTATTGCAGAGTTATCTTCTCTTGGGACCAGGTATTAATTGTTACGTCATTGGTTTGTGCGAGAAAATTACGTGGTTTTCTCAAAAATTGATGACTTTACTCTCACAAACAAGTGACGTAACAATCAATACCTGCTCCCAAGAGAAGATAACTGCAATACGCAAAGACGAAATAGACTCTTGCACGTTTATGAACTGGTATCAAACATTAATATTACACTAGCTGAATTCATTTGTCAATTTGGTCCTCAATTCATTTATTCGCTTAACCCATTCACCCCTATGTAACTTTAGTAGACTCTAACATGCATTAATATGGATGAGTCCATTATGATCTACAGTGGTGAAAGGGTTAATGTACAGCAAGATGGACCATAATTTTATTGCCAACAACAGATACATATTTTATACCTTACATACATTTTACTTTTCATTTCTCTGATGAAGGTGACGAGTACATATTGTACTAGTCATTAAAGTATCACATATAAACTTTTCACTGGTTGTGCTATATAAACCTGTATACAAATACAAGTTTTTGACTTGGGGTCATGTGATGATTGTAAGAAAATGTAATATTCTTTTTCTTGTCCCATGAAGAAGTAATAACAGGTAAAACCGTTTTTTTTAATTAAAATGCAACGGCTACCTTGAGCATTTCAAAAACAAAACCAGATCATTAATACAACGATACACATAATAAATTCCCTACCTTTAGCTTGTCACAGAACAAAAACATTTGTAATGGAACACCTTTACAATTTCTTTCCATTAGATTGTAACATACAGACAGGACCTTTAATATACATTGTAATTTTGGATTGCTTGCCATTAGATTGTCACACAAAGACAGAACGCTTATTACACATTGGAATTTTGGATTGCTTGCCATTATCTTGTCAAACACAGACAGAACCTTTATTATACATTGGAATTTTGAATTGCTTGCCATTTTCTTGTGAAACACAGACAGAAAGTTTATTATACAAAGGAATTTTGAATTGCTTACCTTTAGATTGTCACATACAGACAGAACGCTTATAATATATTGGAACAAATATGGATTGCTTACCTTTAGATTGTCACATACAGACAGAACATTTATTATACATTGGAACACATATGGATTGCTTACCTTTAGCTTGTTACACACAGACTGAACCTTTATTATATATTGGAACAGATATATGGATTGCTTACCTTTAGCTTGTCACATACAGACAGAACCTTTGTTACACATTGGAACACATATGGATTGCTTACCTTTAGCTTGTCACATACAGACAGGACCTTTATTATACATTGGAACACATATGGATTGCTTACCTTTAGCTTGTCACATACAGACAGGACCTATATTATACATTGGAACACATATGGGTTGCTTACCTTTAGCTTGTCACATACAGACAGGACCTTTATTATACATTGGAACACATATGGATTGCTTACCATTAGCTTGTCACATACAGACAGGACCTTTATTATACATTGGAACACATATGGTTGTTACCTTTAGCTTGTCACATACAGACAGGACCTTTATTATACATTGGAACACATATGGATGTTTTCTTTAGCTTGTGACATACAGACAGGACCTATATTATACATTGGAACACATATGGTTGTTACCTTTAGCTTGTCACATACAGACAGGACCTATATTATACATTGGTACACATATGGATTGCTTACCAATAGCTTGTCACATACAGACAGGACCTATATTATACATTGGAATACATATGGATTGCTTACCTTTAGCTTGTCACATACAGACAGGACCTATATTATACATTGGAATACATATGGATTGCTTACCTTTAGCTTGTCACATACAGACAGAACCTATATTATACATTGGAACATATATGGATTGCTTACCATTATCTTGTCACATACAGACAGAACCTTTATTGAACATTGGAACACATATGGATTGCTTACCATCATCTTGTCACATACAGACAGAACCTTTATTATACATTGGAACACATATGGATCGCTTACCTTTAGCTTGTCACATACAGACAGAACCTTTATTATACGTTGGAACACAAATGGATTGCTTACCTTTAGCTTGTCACATACAGACAGGACCTTTATTACACATTGGAACACATATGTATTGCTTACCTTTAGCTTGTCACATACAGACAG